TGGGCAGTAGTGGCACACAGCTTTAGTTCCGTTAATCCTAGCACTCGGGAGGCAGAAACAGGCAGATCTCTGTGTGTTCAAGACCAGCGTGGTCTACAGAGTGAGTGTCAGGACAGGCTCCAAAGCTACACAGAAACCCTGTCTAGGAATAAAAAAAAAAGATATCCCTCCTTAGCAGCCAGGAATAAAAAAACAAAACACACATTACACACCCAGGATGGATAGCTATAACCAAAGACATTCAGCCAGGTCTGGTGGTCATACCTGTAATCCTAGCACTCAGGAGGAGGCTGAGGCAGGAGGTAAAGGCAGTCTGAGGTATATCCTAAGTCCCAAGACAGTCTTCCTGTGCTACAGAGAAAAAACTGTCTCAAATAAAGTAAAACAAGACAGAAAGACTGTACTGTCAGGAAGACATGGATGCTGGTGGAAATAATAGCTGGTAGGGAAATTTTGGAAAACAAACTAGAAAGTAGTTATTCAAAAGGTTAAACAAAGTTTCCATATGACCTAGCAATTTCATTCCTAAGCATGCAAGCCAAGGGAAACTGAACCATATGCCCACCAAAAACCTTGTATGCAATGTTCAACATTATTCACAATAATTATAAAAAGTAGAAACAACTGAAATATTAATCAACTAACTGCATTTTTTAATAATTTATTTAACCTTATTTCATGTGCATTGGGGTGAAGGTATTTGATCCCCTGGAACTAGAGTTACAGACAGTTGTGAGCTGCCATGTAGATGCTAGGAACTGAACCCAGGTCCTCTGTAAGAACAGTCTGTGCTCTTAACTGCTGAGCCATCTCTCCAGCTCCCTATAATTGTGTTTTATGTCACAGAATATTAATCAGTCATTAAAAAAAAAGAACAGTAGAGCCAGATGTGGTGGTGCATATCTAATTCAAGCAGGTGGAGGCAAGAGTTAGAGGTGGAAGGATCAAAGTTCAAGGCAAGCCTTGGCTACATGAGCCTCTATCTTAATTAGGAAGCAAACAAACTTGAGCTAGAATAAAAGGCTGTAATGTCTGCTATTGTCCCATCATACAAATATCTTCGCTCATCCCCATTAGACTACTACAAAACACACAAACCATCACTCAAGTAGCAGAAAAGAATGAACTGTGTCGTGGAAATAAAGTACTCTCTTCCTTTCTCTGGACCTTGGTTTCTCATCTATAAAATCAGATTTTATTATCTCTAAGTATGCCTCCCTGTCTGACACTCCGTGTCCAATTTTATCCAGGTGCAGTGGCACACACATAAATCCTAGTTCAAAGATGGGCTGAGTTTCCTATACAGGGAGTCACAGGCCAGCCTGAACTACATGACAAGACCTCATTTTCAAAAAGAAAAATAATTCTAGTCTCACTGCTCCACACATCTAAGGATTACCACCTGACAAGTACTCTGCTCTGGATTTTCTAGACAGAATTTTCTCTTTTCAAAAAGTGACATTCAGAGTGCTGGAGAGATGGTTCAGTGGTTAAGAGCACTGGCTACTCTTCCAGAGTATCCTGGTTCAATTCCTAGGATTCACATGGCAGCTCACAACGGTCTATAACCCCAGTTCCATCCTCACACAGACATACTTGCAGGCAAAATACCAATGCACATTAAACACAAATAAATTATTTTTAAAGGTGACATTCAAAGATTATTTCAGTGTATTATTTCAATGTGGTGCCTTTTTTTTTTTATGTGACCATTAGCTAACCTTTTTCTTCCAGCCCACACTTACCTTTTGGGTCGAAACAACTATTTACTGCATCTCTAAACTTCTAAGACCCTTGACTATGTCATCATAGAAAAGACTGAAAAGATTTTGTCCCTAATTTTAATTTTTTTTAAATGTTTTTATTTATTTATTGTGTATGCAGCCTTCTGCCTGCAGGCGAGCAGAGGGTACCAGATCTCATTCAAGGTGGTTGTGAGGCACCATGTGGTTGCCGGGAATTGAACTCAGGACCTCTGGAAGAACAGTCAGTGCTCTTAACCACTGAGCCATCTTTCCAGCCCTCCTAATTTTAATTTTTAGTTTCTGTCTTTTTTTAAAATAGGGGTCTTACTATGCAGCCAGGCTGGTCTGGAATTCACACTTACCTGTCTCTACCTTCCAGATGATGAAATTACTTGGAAGCAGTTTTAACTTTGGTTTCTTTTTTTTTTTTTTTTTTTTGAGATGGAAGTCTTACATAGCCCAGGATAAATTCAAACTAGCTAAGTAGAAAAGGATGACCTTAAACTTCTAACTCCTGCATCTTGAAGTTACCCAGTGCTAGGATTACAGATGTGGACCATCATACCCAGCCTAAGCTTCTTTGATTTGCTTTTTCTGAATACAACTTGTTTTGTTTATTTTGAGTATTTGGGAACTACCTGAGAAATAATACAATCTAACTGGGCTGGAGAAAGGAACACAGATTCCTCTCAGCATCTAACCAGAGAATATGAGCGCAATTCTTAATTTCATATAGTTTCACGGACTATGACATCACCAATTTGGGAGCAATCAACCAAGCTAAGAAGAGAAAATGCACCCTAGAGAGTCTCAGCATGGACTGCACAGAGTTATTTGTATTCTGTTTTGTTGTGCTCAAAGAGTCCCCGTGGGTCATCCAGATTCCCCAATCAACCCACCAGAAATGAAAACGGTGGAAAAAAAAAAATCCTTCAATCAGTGTCTGTTCTAACAAAGGCAAGCTATTGGATAACTGGTCTTGGCATTAAACTACTACAACCCAATTTAAAAACACTCAAAATGCCCTTCTTACACAGTTTCCCAACTCATCCTTTTCTTTATTCTCCCAATGAGATTGCACAGGGATATAATTTTAACCTGATGACAAGCCAGATAATTAACAGATGTTCTTAAAGAGAGAATATGTTTTTAGTGAAAGTTTTTTTTTAAGTTCCAGTTAAGTTTTCAGTAAAACCTTTTTAGTTACAGTGCTGGTTATCTAATTTGCTCCAGACACAAATATTCCCTACAGCAAAACAAGATTGTCTCATTCCAACCCAAACCCTATTTGCTTTTCTTTCCTCCTTTTTTTAATGACCTGAGAATAAAGTGCAACTCCACCTCCCAGGTGCAGGAATCTCACAGGTTTACACCATCCTTTAAGGCTGTCTTTATTTTCTAAACCCAAATTCCTACACAATTTAACAGACATTCAGGAACACAACATAGAAACAACAATAGTTTTTCTACCCTTGAGCCTCACCCAGAAAAATGGTTGTTTTATTATTATTATTATTATTATTATTATCATCATCATCATTTTATTCATCCAGAAAAACTGCTATTTCTAACCCTTCTCAACATGTTAGTTTGTTTTTCTTTCTTTTCTTTTCCGCCAGGGTCTCACTATGAAGTCCTGTCTAGCCCTACACTTGTGGTAATCCTCCTGCTTCTTCCTCAAGTGCTGGGGTTCCAGATGCACACCACCACTGGTGTTTTCCAAAGACCTCCAGAGGGGCTACTATATACAGCATAATGTCACCAAAGAAGCACTGGACTAAGAGTTAAGACATAAAAGCTCTGATCTCCTTCTGGGTCTCATTTTCCTCTCAGATCCTCTCCAGCACCAAGACCTAGGACCGAATTCCAACAACTGCATCATCCAAAATTCTAAAGTTAATACATATGAAACAGATGGCAACATCCGTTTATACTGTAAGAATTAGATGACATAAAAAGGTGAGCTTGGAATACTAAAGTTGCCCCAACAGGAGGCTCAGCTAGCATCAATCCATATTACTTCTTCATGAATTTTTATAAAGCATCAGTTTCTCATATCTTAAAAAGACAATCCATTTTTGCCATCTAAAGTGTGCAGTTAGTTGGTTTGTTTTGTTTTCATTTTCAGAAGAAATACTGGAATTTTTCTGGTGACAAAAGAAAAATTGCAAAACTGCCCTAGCATCTCTTAAGCAGAGTGAAATTAGTCAACAGGATGACCACTTTCAAAAGAGAAACTGTATGGTGCGCACTGACCACATCGTGACAGAAGGGGAAAGGAGCCTCCCTCATCAAATCGGCATGCCATACTTTAAAGTCTAACACAAGCCTCCATCGCTGAAACCTGCCTACTGGCCACTCCAAACAAAAACTTTTCAAAACTGTTGCAACTCGAAGGTTTCAGTGCAAGCACGGAGGAATTCACCGGGGATTTTACAATTCTTACACCTTCAAGCAATGGGTGCCAAATCTCGTCAGGGCCTCACTGTCACTCCACCACCACTTCCCCTTCGAAAGATAACTTGAGAAGCATCACAACACAGCACAACCTGTCCAACCCGGACGTCGCCTTTTATTCACAAATGACCCTCGACTGATAAAGGACATAACTTTCATAAAAAGGCATGGCTCCGGGAACAAGCTCTTTTCTAGTGCCACGGGAGAAATCATTCTTGGTGTAACTCAAGTTCGATCTGTCACTTCATGTCTCATCCAGAGGGGCAGAGCTGTGGAGAGAAAGCCCGGGGCCTGGCCTGCTCAGAAGTGAGTTATAACGGTTTTGAGGAACTGGTATCACCGGCTTCTTGGAAAGAGGCCAGATAAACTAAGTTTTTGTTTTGCTCTTTTGAAAAGTCTGGGTGGGACTCACTCACTATCACTAGGACGTGAGCTAACTTCTACCCTCCCAAAAGGGGGTTGGAAGGCACGCTCCCCTTCATTCTGCACTAAACCACTCGACCTCCTGGACGCACACAGCGTCCGCATCTTCGCAGGTCGCCGATACCGTGCCCACCGCGCGTGGGGCAGCAGGCCCGCGGGCCCCGCGTCCCGTCCCCTCGCCCGACCCTCGTCGAGCTCCCGGGACAAAGCGGGGCCCAAGGGCCCCGGCCCGGGCTCGGCGCGCACTCACCCGACAGTTCGTCCGGCTCCAGCCCCGTCTCGGTGTCCAGCCCGCAGATGACAAAGTAGTCGGCGAAGCGACTGGGCGCCGAGCCCCCGCCGCCGCCGCCGCCGCCGCCGCCGCCGCCGCCGCTCATGGCGCCGGGCCGAGCCGGGCGAGCCGCGCGGAGCCGAGCCCCCGCCCCCGGCCGCCCGCCCGCCCTCGGCCGCCGCTCCCGCCGCCGCCGCTACCGAGGCTCGGGCCGCCGCCCCCGGGACTGGCCGGATCCCAGCGGCCGCCGTTGCCGTGCCGGGGCAGGGGGGCGCTGGGCCACCCCGCGCCGCATCCTGGACGCTGTCCTCCGCGCCGCGACCCGAGCAAGCCTAAGGAAGGGCGGAGAGCAGCTGTCCGCCCCACCGCGGGCGCCCCCACCCGCCGCCGCCGCGTGCGCACGCGCGGTCGGGGAGGGGCGGGCGCCGGGCGCAAAGGATGACGTGATGCTCTTTGGGCCCCGGGGGCCTGGGCTTCCAGAGCAGTCGCCGCAGTGTAGCCAGCGGCTGCCTCCGGAATCCCGGGACTCCTGCCGCCCTCACGGGACTGCGAAGCCCTTTGGAAGAGTAGGGGTATGCAGAAAGAGTGGGCCATGGGAGTAAAGCTGAGACATTGTCACCGGTACAGAGCTGCACAACTGAGCTGTAAAGCCCACAGGATCCTGCTCGTAGACAGTCACCACACTGTAGCTTCTCCTTGTCCCTGCTCTTCAGTGTCAGTGACGGGTCTTTCCCTAATAGATTTGAGGAAACCCTGTTCTTTGGAGAGGGTGGGTCAGTTTATCTTATATTTACCCTTAGTTTGCAGATAGGGAAACGGAAGTTAAAGAAAAGCAATAGGCAAAAACTACTCTTGAATCATGTGTTCACAGACAGCTCACTCCCCGCACCCCACAACCAGGGTTTCTCCCATGCACCAAGCTCTCTCTCTCCACCTCCTAAGAGGCCCAGTCACTTAGAAGTTCTTTCTTTTCAAGGTCAGAATTCTCCTTCCTTCCTTCCTTCCTTCCTTCCTTCCTCCCTCCCTCCCTCCCTCCCTGCTTCCCTTGTAGGAGGAAAAGGGTGGTTGAGAGAGTGAAACCTCCTGGTCCTGTCTATCGCCTCAACAACAGACCTTTTGATTTCTCCCAGAAGCAAGACAACTGTGTCATTTCTTTGGGTTTTTTTTTTTTTTCTGACAAGGGTCGCACTGTGTAGCCCTGACTCACTCGGAACTCACTATGTGCTTGTACCCACCTGTAGCGATTCTCTTACTTCTACCTCCTTGGTGATGGGCTTTACAGGCCTGCTGCACCTACACACCACACTCACGTGGGTCTTTTTCTGGAACTTCAGAGGCTGAGAAAGGGATACACTGTGGTGGTTGGTTATGGTGATATTTTGTTTATGATCAAACAAATAAAGCTTGCCTGATGATCAGAGTGCAAAGCTAAACACACTAGTTAGCCATAGAGGCCAGTCAGTGGTAGTACACACCTTTAATCCCAGCACTCAGGAGACAGAGGCAGGCAGATCTCTGATAGCTCACCGCCACCCTGGGTTACGTGAGATTGAATCTGTCTAAAAGAGAAGCAGAGCTCACACAAAGGTCATCCCAGCACTTGGGGTCTCACAACTTTAATCCCAGCACTAGGGAGGTGGAGACAGGAGTGATATGACTGGGTGGAGAAAGAAATATAAAGTGGGAAGAGACAAGAAAGAGATGTGTCTGAAGCAGTCTAGAGATGAATGAAGTCTGAGGACAGGATCACCATTTCCGTCTGAGCTCTCTAGTGCCTGGACACTTTGCTTCTCTGGTTTCGGTCTGAGTATTGGTAGAGGTGAGAACTCTCTAGTGGTTGGCCACTTTGCTTCTCTGATCTTCAGCTTTAACCCCAATATCTATCCCTGGGGTTTTATTACTAAGACCAACTAGAATCCGTGCTACAGTTGCTACAGTTTGAATCCCTACTTTTATAATTTACAGTGTAATGTTGGCAAGTTATTTATGTAATCTATAGATGCCAGCAGGCCTGCTTTTTGTGAAAGCATAAAACAAATGCCATGTATAGGTAAAGAGGTGAGGGTTATATTCAAAGCATAGGGGCACTCCAGAAACATTACATTTCATCATTGTTGTTGCAGAATGGTGTGCTCCGGGTCTGCTCTGGCAGGCAGCTAGCTAAGGACTACAGAAGGCAATTGTCTTCCCCAAGGACTGAACCTGGACTCTCTCCTGGGTACTGTCTCCAGTATTACTCTCAAGTACTGGATCCCTTTGGGAGCATGGCCGAGAGGTCACAACCAACGTCACTGGAAACCATAGCATCTGTTCCCTAAATCTAATCTACCTGAACAGCTGGAAGAAAACTCAGAGAGGGCAGCTTTACAAAGTCCATCTGATGTGATGTTGCCTTATCCTGCATTCTTGCTTGAGACACAGACTGTGCAAGGGACTTGGAGAGCTAAACAGAGCAAGGAAAAGGAAGCTTGTTGATGTTGGGTCCTGGTCAGGGAAGGCTTCCAGAGATCCAGATGGTCAACAGGAAATTCTTACATCAAATACTTAACATTGCCACAACAAAGAGTGGAAAAACCATACGTTTAGGCAGCATCAAGGAATGCACTAATACAGAAAGTGGGAATGCCAGGTATGGTGGAGCAAGCCCGTAATCCCAGCATTTGGGAGGCCAAGCAACAGGATTATAAAACAAAGCCAGTCTGACCATACAGTACAGACCCCCATCCCCTCCCAAAAAAGCAAACCAAGACAGTATTAAAAGGGGTTGAAAACTGAAAACAGAGAGGGATAAAAGGGTTGGGGCAATAAGGGCTTCAAGTGCCAGGTATAAAACTGCCCTTAGAAGGAGGGCAGACAGGGCTGGAAAGATGGCTCAGTAGTTAAAAGCACTGGCTACTCTTGCAGAGGACCAACGTTCAGTTCCCAGCACCCACATGGTGGCTCACAACCTTCTGTACCTCCAGTTCCAGGGGGGGTCTGATGCCCTCTTCTGACCTCCACAGGCACCAGGCACACACATGCAAAACAGATACACATTCAGGCAAAACATTCATGCACAAAAAAAATTAAAAGGGGGAGGTCCTGGGCCCTCCCTGGAATAAAATGACAGACTCTAGAATGCAGTGGGGATTGGGTGGAGGGCTGGAGGGGTTGGGGGGGAACAGGCGTGGAGGGGAGGGAGAGGGAGCTGGGATTGACATGGGAAGCAAGCTTGTTTCTAATTTAAATATATAATAAAGTTCGAGGCCAGGCTGGACCGACAGCCTCCAAAACAATACAGAGAAACCGTGTCTCGGAAAAAAAAAAAAGATCAGGTAAAATTAAAGGGTCACTTGGGAGATGATATAGACTTGGGGAGACTTTCAATTAAAAATAAAAAAGAAGAGGTTTGGAAAGGGAATGAATGTCTTCAGTTTAAAAGTCCAGAAATGTTTTATCCAGACTAGCCAGCTGCTAGAAGGCCTCTCTCGCACTAACTCTACCTATAAGACACAAATTGAAAGCAAATCCATGACTGTATTAATTTGTCTTCAGAAATGGTAACTGCTCAGAGACCCAGAATACTCAACTGTAGAGTGATCTCCTTCCCAGTAGGAAATATGCTTGGCAGAATAATTGCTTCTTGTAGAGTCAGAAGACATGTAGAACTACAAGTCACGAGTTCTCAGGGTTAGAGAGATGGCTCTGCAGTTAAAAACACTGGCTGCTCTTCTAGAGGACCTGGGCTCAATTCTCAGCATCCACATGGCAGCTCACACCTGCTTGGAACTCCAGTTCCATGGGATCTGATATCTTCACATAAGCATACATTCAGGTAAAACACCAATGCACATAAATAAAAAAATAAAATAAAGTAGTAAAAAAAGTGACAGTTCTCATTTGGGAACTTCACAGCTAGTAAGAGCAGGAACAGAAATTTATTCCCTTTCCAAACCTCTTTTTTCATTATTTTTAATTGAAAATCCCCCCCAAGTCTATATCTGTCCTGGCACTAGCTTTGTAGACAAGGCTGGCCTCAAACTCACAAGAGATCCACCTACCTGTCTCCCAAGTGCTGGGATCAAAGGTGTATACCACCACTGCCTGGCTTAGTTATTTTTCTATTGCTGTTTCAAAACATTTTAACCAAGAGTCAATACATTTAATTGGGCTTATGGTTGAGAGGGTCCAAGTCTGTGGTGGCAGAGCAGTGGTATGGTGATAGGAACAGCTAAGAGCTCACATCTTGATTTGCAAGTAGAAGGCAGAGAGAGATACTCTGGGAATGGCACCAGTCTTCTGAAACCTCAAGGCTGCCCAGTGAGATGCCTCCTCCATTAAGCCCACACCTCCTAATCTTTCCCAAAGACTTCTACCTACTGGGGACATTTGAGCCTATGAAGGGCATTTTCATTCAAACCCCAGCCTGTAACTCAGTTCCAGGGAATCTATTGACCTCTGGCTTCCAGAGGATACCTGTGTTGCGAAGTTTTCTTTGTTCCAGCTGGTCCCACTGCCCTTCAGCCCCAAATAAACACACAGACACTATATTAATTATGAAACTGTTAGCCAATGGCTTGGGCTTCTAATTGGCTAGCTCTCTCTAAATTATTAACCCATATCTGTTACTCTATGTATTGCCACAAGACTGTGGTTTACTAGTAATTCAGCATGTTACTCCTTTGGCAGCACGGCATCTCTGGTGGGTCCCCTCTGCCTACCTTTCCCAGAATTCTCTTTATCTCCTAGTCATGCCTATCTTCATTGGCCAAACAGTGTTTTATTCATCAACCAGTAAGAGAAACATATATACAGAAGGACATCCCCCAATACCTGCATGCACATGGTGTACATAAGCGCGCGCGCACACACACACACATTTTTTTATTTAAAAACAAACAAAAACAGGGACTGAAGAGATGACTCAGCAGTTAAGTGTACTTGCTGCTCTTGTAAAGGATCAGGGTTCAGTTCCCAACAGCTACATGCTAGCTCCTAATTGTTTGTAACTCCAGTTCCAGAGGATCAGCACATATGTAGTATACATACATATATGCAGGTCAACACTTGTACACATAAAATAAAAACAAATACTTTAAAACAAAAACAATTCATTTAGGGAAAAATAAGGGGTTAAGGATATAGTTTAGTCAGTAGAGAGCTCTGAATTCAATCCCTACATCACATAAACTAAGTGTTGTGACATAGAACTGTAATTCTAGCACTCAGAAGTTAGAGATAGGAAGCTCAGATTAGGAATTCAATGCCATCCTTAGCTATATACTGAGTTTCAGGACAAACTGAGTTATATCACACCCACACACAGGCTAGATACACTGAGTATGGTGGTACACCTATGATGTCGGACAGAGAGCAGAATTCCAGTTCAAAGCCAGCTTGAGCTACATAGCAAGACTTTGTCTCAAAGCCAACAAAGGACTGAGGTACAGTTCAGTGGTAGTGCATTTGCCTAGCACTTGCAAAGCCCTGGGCTCAATCCTCCGCAACTAAAAAAGTATTAAAAAGTTATGTAATTGTACACAGTAGCTGAAACATAGAAGTAATCCAAGTGTCCACTGGTGGATTAATGGACAATGGATAAGTAAAATGTAATATAAACTACAATAGAATATCATTAAGCCCCTAAAAAGTAGGAAACCAGAATGGAATACACCTCAGTTGGTACAATGCTTGCTCAGCATGAACAAAGCCCTGCACTCTATCCTCAGCGTGGCAGCAATGAGACAGCAGCAGTCACTGTAATTCCAGCACTCAGGATGTAGATGCAAGAGGATCAGAAGTTCACAGTCATTTTTAGTACATAGGGAGTTGAGGGTGAGGCTAGGCTATGGGAGACACTATCTTTCTTAAAAAGATAGTATTTAGGGGCAGGAGAGATGAGTCAGTAGTTAAGAGCACTTGAACTTTTAGAGAACCAGGGTTCGGAAGTTCCCAGCATCCACACAGTGCCTCACAAGCAGCTGTAACTCCAGTTCCAGAAGATACAACCCCTTCTTTTGGCCTCTGTGGACACTGTACACACAATGTACACACACATACATGCAGACAAAACACCTGTCTTAGTAGGGTCTCTATTGCTTCAATGAAACACCATGACCAAAAGGCAACTTGGGGAGGAAAGGGATTACTTGACTCACATTTCACATCACTGTCCATCACTGAAGGAAGTCAGGACAGGAACTCAAGCAGGGTAGGAAGCCGGCCGGAGGCAGGAGCTGATGCAGAGGCCATAGAGGGGTGCTGCTTACTGACTTGCTTCACATGGCTTGCTCAGCCTGCTTTCTTTTTTTTTTTTCTTTTTTTTTTTTTTTTTTTGGTTTTTCGAGACAGGGTTTCTCTGTGGCTTTGGAGGCTGTCCTGGAACTAGCTCTTGTAGACCAGGCTGGCCTCGAACTCACAGAGATCCGCCTGCCTCTGCCTCCTGAGTGCTGGGATTAAAGGTGTGCGCCACCAACGCCCAGCTCAGCCTGCTTTCTTATACAACCAGGACTACCAGCCCAAGGATGGCACCTCCTCCATCAATCACTAATTAAGAAAATGCCTTGCAGGCTTGCCTATAACCTGATCTTATGGAGGCATTTTCTTAATTGAGGCTCCCTCCATTCGGGTGACTTTAGCATGTGTCAAATTGACATAAAACTAGACAGTACACACCCATACACATAGTTTTTTGTTTTTCAAGGCATGGTTCTGTAACACAAATAATAAAACCCAGAGGCAGATATTAGGGTTCAAGCTGAAGATCAGAGAAGCTCTTACCTCTACATCAGACTGAAATGGGTGATTCTGTCTCCATGAATCCTCAGAGGCAATATGCACACTGAACTGCTCTCCACCAAGCTTCAGACTGTAATCCCCTCAGTACCTGTCTCTTCTCCCCTTATTTTCCTCTCTCCACCCAGTTATATCACTTCTGTCTTCACCTCCCTAGTGCTGGGATTAAAGGCGTGTGATCTCAAGTACTAAAATCAACTTGGTCTGAACTGTTTCTTTTAGACTGGATCAAATTTGTGCAGTTCAGCGTGGCCTTGAACTAACAGAGACCCATTTGCCTGTCTCTGTCCTGGGGTTAATGGTGTGTACCACCACCATCTGTCCTCTATGGCTAACTACTGTGACTGCTGGGATTAAAGGTGTGTGTCACCACTGCCTGGCTCTATGGCTGTGGCTAGCTTTGCAATTTGATCTCTAGTTGGCTTTATTAGATCATAAACAATATATCACCACCGGGTTCTCTGTGTAGCTCCCTAGCTGTCCTGGAATTAGTTCTGTAGATTAGATTGACTTTGAACTCAGAGATCTACCTGCCTCTATCATCTCCTGAGTGCTGGGATTAAAGGCATGTGTTGTTATGGAACATCTGTCACCAGTCAGCTAGCCAATAGTGAGGAGAGTTTTGGTCTAAGGGAAGGAGTTTTCATTGAGAATGTATGTGACCCTAAGAAAAGGTGGGGACAAGGGACACATGGCCCTTTTTGTGGCAGATTTGGCACCTGGTGGCTCCATTCAGATTCCTATTTATCTAGTGATATTTACTAATAAATGATAAAGTAATCCTTTGACCCTTTTTCACATATGCTACTACCACCTGGCTTAAAAATCAAGATTTTTAGCCGGGCGTTGGTGGCGCACGCCTTTAATCCCAGCACTCGGGAGGCAGAGGCAGGCGGATCTCTGTGAGTTCGAGGCCAGGCTGGACCGACAGCCTCCAAAACAGAGAAACCCTGTCTCGTAAAACCAAAAAAAAAAATCAAGATTTTAAAAATCTTTTAAAAATAAGGTATTTGCTTTGCTCAATGAAAAGTTCTACTGTGTAAACAAAGGAATCCACTGATCCCTTACCAATACAATTTGGTGTTTTGCTTCTTTTGTTTGAGACAGAATCTCACTATGTAGCCCAGGCTGTTAGGCT